CCACCACCACCACCACCACCACCACCACCACCACCACCTCCACCACCTCCACTTCCACCTGCACCTCCACCACCACCACTAGAGGACCACGGGATTTGCCTGGGCTTGTGGTGCTTCTTCCTGTGTCTCAAATATGCCTTTAAAGGGACACTATAGATCATAGTGTGCACGCAAAGAATATGTGTGTGTGTGAGTGTGTTTGCAGATGCTGCTAACGCACCTCCTCGTAGGCCTCTAATTCCCACCCCCTCCTGCCCTCCCTCCCTGGTCCAGCTCCACCCCCACCCCCGCCCTCCACCCCATCAAGCAGTAGTAAAGCTCAGAGAGTTACTTCTTCTCCGGGGTCTTCAGTGGAGGGCTCCTCGTCCAGGTTAGGGTCCTCCTCGCCGGTCTGGTGGCAAAGACAGAGATCAAGCGGGCGTCAGGCCAGATTTGCATAAAAACCATCACACAGGGAACAGCAGACAGAAACCAAGAAAACCCTAACACCCTGCCCTGGAGACAGGTGCCCTGGGGAGACGCGCCCCTCGAGTTTCAGAGCAATCTTTATGGACGGATGGGGGCTGACAGTCCCCCCTTTCCTGAGGAGCCTCTGGTGGGTTTGAACCTCTGACCTGGCAGTTACCAGCTCCCTGTCTAACCCCGTGCGGGCACACGGAGACCCTGGGCATGGTGGAAGGGCCTCTTGTAACCGATGGTACTTGATCTCACAGATAGTTCCTCTAGATGTGACTGCTGTCACAGTGTCCTATTGTTTCTGACACCAGGGCGGCCCCTGTACATGGGGACCCCAGGCACGATGGGACGAAATGCCGCCAGTCCTGCGCCAGCTGCACCCTGCCCCCACCCTGCCCCACCTACTGCAGGTCCTACATTGTCACCCACAGGGTTTCTACGGGCTGATTCTCAGAAATAAGTCACCAGGCCTTTCTTGCTTGCCTTACTTTGGAAGCTCTGCTGAACCACGGAGAGACGGATGGGGGCTGTGAGAGAGGTGCACTGGCCGGGGCTTGAACCCCGGCCTCTGCTTTACCACTGAGCCCCCGGAGACTGCCTTCTGTTCTTCAAATGGCCATAGACAAGGCAGTGGCTGCTGAGAACAGAGCTGTCAGCCGGTGCACCAGCCAAGCCTCTCTGCGGCAGGAGCAGGCAGCTTCTCTGTCCCCTGGCGAGCTGGGTGGGGAGGGGTCAGCTCAGGACTCACCCAGTCCCAGTGAGACTGGGGAGACTCACCACCCCCCTCGGTGGTGGAACGCATTCCCCAGGTGGGGGTACTGCTTGGGTTCTCATGGAGAACACCTGCCACGTAAGGCTGGATCTGGTAGGTCGGGGTGTGCCCCACCCTACCCCACCTCGGGCCTCGGCTTGCTGCTCTGAAAATGCAGGGTCCAAGGACTCCGGGGGCCTCAGGGGTGCCCCTGGGATGGAGCCAGGCTGGACAGGCAGCAGCTGGCACGGAGCTGCCCCGCAGGGTCCTTGCAGCCATGTGACAGTTCACCAGGCTGGGTCACTGTCGGACCAGCAGCTGCCCGCCCAGCCCCACGCATCACTGTCTCCTCTGCGTTGTTTCAAAGCCTGGCTCTCCTCTCTACTGAGCCCGGCCTCCCGGAGAGAAGGCTCATGCTGGTGCCTTTGAAACGAACACAGCGAAAATAGGCCACCGCCCTCTCACAGGGCTGGGATACCTGCTGGCACCCTCCCCAGCACGCACACTCTCCTGCGCCCCTCCCCACCCCTGCTGTCTCAGAGCCCTGCGCCCCAGGGCGAGGCCGCTCAGGGAGACGCTGGCTGTGTGCTGCTTTCTGACGCTGGGCTTGTCACGGAGTCCCTGTGGGTGACCGTGCAAGTCTGCCTGTCATCACGGGTGATGGGGTGAAACATGCAGCCCCAACCACCGAAGAAGAACGGATGCATGTGGACCACGGTGTTGGTGAAGAACATCAGAACATCGCAAGTACCACGCACTGCAGAAAGAACCAACAGATCTCTCTTGGAAGAAGCAGGGCCAGAGTGTCCTTAGCGGTCAGGATGGGGGGCGGGCAGTTCGCCCGCATACTTTGGGCACGTTGCCAGGAGAGACCAGTCCCTGGAGGGGGGCACTGTGCTTGGTAAAGTCGAAAAGGAGGCTGGCCCTGGACGAGGTGGGCAGACACAGTGGCTGCACCCTGAGCTCCAGTGTGGCACCCCTGGTGAGGACGGCGGGACAGGGCAGTGTGTCGCTCTGTGGTGCACAGGGTCCCCATGGGTCGGAACCGACTTGATGGCACTGAACAAGAAAGCACCCCAAGACCATCTTAGTGCCTCTGCGACTCTCCGGGAGGCCCGTGCTCCGAAGTGGGGGACGACCCTGAGGGTTGTCCTCCAGCCCAGGGAGCCGAGATGCCCGATGTTCCTCCCGAACGCCCAGGTCACAGACGAGAGCTTGGCTGTTGAGGAGACAAGTCAGAGTCCTTGTTTGGAGAGCTGGAGCCAAGTGGGGAAGGGGCCTCCTGTGGGCTCCCGGGACGCCTGTCCTGGGTGCAGAAAGACGGATGGAAACATTAAGGCTCCTTGGTCTCCTGGTGGGAAACTGAGCATGCCTCTGATGTGGACATCCAGGGCTTCTGATGTGGGGGCTCACAACTTCCGCTGTGAAGTGCAGAAGCCCCAGGCCCCCACCCCTGAGTTTTGCTCAGGAGTTTTTGGGTGCAGCGAGCGAGCTCAGCTGCTCTCTGAGAGGGCACAGGTTCACGTCTCTCCAGTGGAAACCTCTGAGGGGCACGGCCATGGCCTGCTCCTGCTCAGGGTCTCGACAGGTCAGTCTGGTGAACACCTCCCAGCCTGGATCCTGGGCAAGCCTGGAGGCAGACTACCCTCCCGCCCCAACCCAGCAGGGCCCACATCTCTGCGGAGCCAGGAGTTCTGCAGGAAGAGATCATCTCTCTATGCAGAGAACTCTGCCTAAATAGGTATTGAACACCCCACACCCCAAAATAAAAACCACTGCTGTCCAGTTACATGGATCCCAGTGGCCTAAGACACAGAACAGAGCTGCCCTCTTTGGGGGTCCGAGGCTGAACATCTTCACGGGTACAGCCTGCCTTAAGTTTCTCTTTCAGAGTGCCAGAGGGGTTTCAAACCACCGACCTCGTGGTCAGCAGAGCCCCGCATGTGGCATCTGCTGCGTCCCCAGAGTCACTGAGAGAACGTGTAGTGCATGGGGTAGGGGCAGGTGGAGGGGGCAGCCCTGCCTCCAACCCTTTCCCTTTAAGGGCTCTTTCTAGGACTGAGACATATTTTAAGAATCACATAAAGACATCTGCCTCGGATCCACTTCCGATTAATTTTAGAAATATTTGAGATTAAAAAAAAGAAAGAAATATTTGAGACATGAGCTGTCTCCCCGCCCCCGCCCCCCCCCCTGGAGGTTTTTGTCAGTGGCGGTAATACAATGCCCCAATTCTTCACCCATCGACACCCTTCTTTCCAGGCTCTGTCACCAGACGGCACTACCTGGCTGGGTCACGCCACTTTTCCTGTTGCCCATCCCACACAAAAGGGAATATGTCTGGCACTCCCAGGCCCCGAGGATACACGCCCCAAGGGGAGAGAACTGCTTGTTCGTCCATCAAGTCCGATTTCTTTGTGAACCAGATCTCTCTGATCTGACGGCCATGGTCCTGAGAGAGAGGGGACAGCTCTCCTTGAGGCATGGGCATCAACACGGGGGGTGGGGTAGGTGGGGTGGGGGGTGTGTGTGCCCAAGCCCACGATGGACAATCAGTGGTCACTTCATCTAGAAATGAGGTTTGATTGGGGGCTGGCCTCCCAAGGCTGCTCCCCACCACCACCAAGGGCACCAGACCCCAGCAGAAACATTAGCATAAGATGGTCAGGTGACCTGCTATTTGGCGTAAAAGTGTTCCAAGCGAATGACCCTCTGTGGGCTTGCAGAGCCAGCTAGGGAGCCAGTGGGGACAGGGCTGACCAGGGAGGCAGAGAGGAAGCTGGGCTGGAGTGAAGGCTTAGGGCATCTTGTAGGAGAAGTTTTTAGCTGCCAGGGAGGTGGTGACTGGCACGGCACAGGCCACCTAATAACGAATTAGCAGAGCTTCCTGGCTTTGGGGGACTTTTTCTAGAAAATTCCAATGGATTATTTAGAGTTCAAATGAAGTGAACCACAGCCCGGGAACAGATTCTCAGATGCCTGGGGAAGGAAGCAGCAGTCCTACAGCAAAGTCGTCTACCCCTCGCCAGCCCTGGGGACACGGCCACTCACACTTAGAGCTCTTGCCCCTGCTGGCCCAGGGTGCCATGCACCAATGCTGCTGACCACAGGGTCCATGACTGGAGCCCACCAGCCTCTCAGTAAAGATCCTCACTTTCCGAGCCGCTTGGGCTGCTGCGAGGGGTTTGCATTGGACAGCCCCACTCAGGATGTGTTCTCTCGCTCTCTGCTTGCGGGGCCCTCCATCTCCGTCCCTCATTGTGGCACCCAGAGGCCTGGCCACGTCCCGCCACTTGTTGCCGGGAAGCAAAGGGCCGCTTCCAGCCCTTCCTCACTAAGCAGCAGCCCGAGACCGGGTCTGTGAGCGGCAATTGTTCCCTCCGAATCTCTTCACATTCATGTATGCACGCATGGCGCACACACACACACACACACACACACACACTCACACACACACGCAGACCGCCCCACGTATCCACACCCCAGCCCACCACACTCAGACACAACATCCACCGTCCCTTTGCCCATGGTGCTGTGGGTTAGGCGCCCGGCTGCGAAAGGAGAGGTCACTGGTTCAAGCCCACCAACTGCCTGCTGGGCACAAAGAGGAGGCTGCCTGCCTGCCTGCTCTGGCAGGGATGGACTGGATGGCCAGGGAATGAGGACAGGGGGCTGGCATGCGCTCCCCCACCCCACTCACTTCTATGTCCATGGGCTCCACCTCTATCTTCTTCCATAGCTCCAGCAGCTGGGCGATGGGCATGTTGACCACTTCCCGGCCTGGGATTAAGTGCAGGGACTCAGCAACAGACTCCCGCAGGGCAGGTGGGCCAGTCCGGCTCGGGGTGCAGGGTCTTCAATATGGCTGCGGGGTGCGCGCCTGTCCCACTGGCCAGTCCCCAGCTCCGCAGAGGACCCAGCTTCCCGCTTGGGCTCCGCAGCCTGAGCCTCGCTGCTGCGACTTGGAGAGTGGATGTTGTCACCGGTACTCCTCCCGCTTACACTGCGCTCGCCCCCCCTCAACTATTTTACCTTAATTGGCTCTAAACAATGGGTGAAAGTTGAGTCTGAGGATGCCGCTGCCATAGAAACCGCATAGCAACCGAGGATGGGAGGAGGGAGGGAGGGAGGCGCAGCGGGCCGGTCCCCACCTCCCTCCCCGCACCGGCGGGCTTGCGCCCGCTGCGCGCGCACGTGCACGCACGCACACGTGCACGCCAGCACACACATGCTAGAGCACACAGGGACACATGCACGCGCGCACACACGCACGGGGGAGCGCGCCCTGGCGCACGAGCCCCTCCAGTTCCTAGCTCATGGAGGGGAGCAAAGCTGCCTGGCCCGGCACCGCGTGGTCCTGGGTCTGCCCCTGCCCCCAATGTCGACCGGATTCCCTATATTGTGGACGCTTCTCTGAGCGTCCGTGGCTGCCGCCTCCTTCGCAGACCAGCGAGAGGAGATGGGGGTCAGGAGGGCACTCGGCCTGCAGCCTGGGGTCCCCAAAGGTGAAGCGCGACTGGTGCAGGACAGAGTGAGAGTCATTAGCACTCCCTGGCGATCCGCTGGCCCCCTGGACTGACCCCTTTATTTTCTGGCTCACGGGGTGGGGGTGGGTGGGTATTTGGCGGCCTGGGGAGAAGACACCAGCTGCTGGAAGTGGATCCCCCCTCCCGTGGTGACCCCTGGGTGCAAGGGCCGATCTTTTAGAACTGGATTATCAGGCCTTTCTTCTAAACCACCACCAGGTGGAGTCACCTGCCAGCCTCTGTTGGCACCACCCAGCCCCCCACCCCCAGGGCTGGGACTAGCCCCAAACCCGCACCTAGGCTGCGGAGATGAGAAGGAAAGGGTGGGGCCCCGGAGTTCAAACTCCCCTTGAGGTGACTGAGGAGCAGACTGGTGCCTGAGTGAAGGGGCGCTTCCCCATTTTCTTCTCTTGCCTGGCTGTCTGCCCTGCCTCTGTCTGGGGGTCAAAGACACTCTTGGGGAAACACGCCCCCTGTCCCCCTTGCCCTCAGAGCCTAATCCCAAAGCCTCTGGGGTCCCCTTTTTGGGAGAGGATGTTGGATTCAAATTCCATTTCATGAACCTTTGAGAGTAGGTGAATCCCTACAGGGAAAGCCTTCATCTTTGACGAGGTGTCCAAGCAAGTCCCTGAGTCCCCTGCCCCCATGCCTTGTCCTCTGACCAGAGAAGTCCAGCTCCTCCGAGGGTCACCATCACCCCACCGCCTACAAGAGGAGCCAGAGGTCAGCAGAGGCTACAACCGTGCCTGCAAGCCCCTGCCCTCTCTGCACCAAGAAAAAGATGGCACACACCAGGTTCCTGGTCTAGCTACACACGAGCTACTGGCGGGAGCAGGGAGCTTCCTGTGTGCCCCATCACGGGGCAGCCGGGCATCCTGTGGAAGCTCACAGATCCCTCCGATGAAATGGGATGGAGTGAGGGCAGTCCTGGGTGGGAACAGGGCAAGGGGCACCAGATGTTTTCGCTGGAAGGACTGGGCGCAAGACCCCCAGGCAGGCAGTGGGGAGGGGAAATGAAATGTGATCCCTACTGTGTGCTTCACGTCCAACTCCAATCAGAGGTGCCTGGGAATTAAGGCCTGGTGATCTCAGGTGGCCTGTGTGACCTGGGAGTAACCCACCTCGGAGACCCCAGGACGTGGCCAGAGGTTAGTAGTGAAGAAGGAGGCGCGGGTGGACCCAGGGAAGGTATGTCCACAGTCTGTAGCCCCACAGGGCGATGTGTCTGTCTAACAGAGGTTCCTATGACTTAGGGGCAAATAAAGGAAGAGGAGGAAAGCCAAGCTCCTGCTGATGCTCCTATTCGGGAATTGGAAAGATCAATGACAATGAAAATGGTTCTTCTTGTGACTTTGACTCTTCCGTCCATTCCCATGGGAGAGTTGGGCGTTGAATGAGGAAGACTGGGGAGCAGTCAATGAATCATGGCGCTTGCTGGTGAGGGATCTTGAAAGTACCAGGGACTACCAAAAGAACAAGCAGACGTGTCTCGGAAGAAGTGCCGTCAGAGTTGTTCCTTAGAGAGGAAGATGGTGAGACTTCGTCTCGTGTACATGGGACACATTAACAGGAGAGACCAGTCTCTAGAGAAGAGCATCATGTCAAGTGGAAGGGAAAGAAAAGAGAATAAGGCTCTCTGAGAGAGTTAAGGTTTATTGTGCCAACCTGGCAGATAAGCACATGTGGGATTAATTGAA